ATCTATATAGAGGACATATTTGACTTTTCAAGCTATATAATATGGGACAGGAAAAAAAATAAATACCTACTTTTTAAAAAATGCTAACTGTACTCATGGGATTTGTACTTGTAACTCATATCACTTGTATGGGCCAAATTTTCAATTTGGTTGAACAGGTCCTGATTGGTGTACACTCAGATATGTGGTAGAAACAAATTTTAAATTTTCTTTAGAATAATAAGCTTTCTATACCAGCCTCAAAGAATTAACACAGATAAAAATCCAAAGAGAATGACCTCCTAAATGGACAATTTACCAACTACCCGTGGAAAACATCACCATGAGAAGCCAGCAACTCAAAAAATACAATTAGGTTCACATATTTTCAAATTATTAGATATAATTCATGTGTATCAAGGAGTGACTATTGAAAAGTACTTTAAGAAAAAGAGAGATCAGAATTAACCAGACACACCTGAAAAAGAACTTTAAAAAAATGAAACATGTAATAACTGAAATGATTAATGCAGTGAATTGATTACAGAGCAAATTAATCATGGCTGAAGACAGAAAAAGTGAAATTAGAATTGAGCAAATCACACAGGATGTGGTCCAGAGAGAGAAAGCCAGGAAAGCCTGTAGGTGAGATTAAAGATTAAGATAGATTGAAAAGGTCTAGTATAATGTTTAATTGGGATTCTAATGGGAAGAGCTACAGTGTAATGTAAAAAGCAGTTTTCAAAGGTACTAGCTAAGATTGCTAAAGATTTAAACATTGGATTATATAGGTTTAAGAATTCCAAGAAAGAATTTTTAAAAATCCATATATACAAGGTCTGTTCAGAAAAAGTCCAGCCATTATTGATATAATGAGAATGGTTTCCCCGCCATCGATATAACCTGGCAGCCAAGAAAAGTGGACTGGAATGCGCACGCATGAACAATGGCTACTTCACTGTAATAGTCAGTGGGGATGGTAGATGCCATTGAATGGGCATGTGTACTGTGTGGCCATCACATTCAAAATGATTGAATAGAACAATGAATCTGCATCAAATTTTGTATTAAGCTTGAACATTCCTTTGGCAAAACTATTCATATGATTCAGAAGGCTACAGCTATGGGCAGCTGGTGATTGGCTGCTTCATCATGACAATCCCTGCTCATGCATCGTGTCTCGTGCAGAGTTTTTTGGCAAACATCAACTCACCCAGGTGACTCAGGCCCCCTACAGCCCAGATTTGGCACACTGGGACTTCTGGCTTTTCCCAAAACTAAAATCACCTTTGAAAGGGAAGAGATTTCAGACTGTTGATGAGATTCAGGAAAATGTGATGGGACAGCTGATGGTGATTAGGAGAACTGTGTGAGGTCCCAAGGTGCCCACTTTAAAGGGGACTGAGGCCTCACTGACCTGTGTACAATGTTTCTTGCATCTTGTATCTTCTTGAATAAATGTCTCTTTTGTAGTGTGTGGCTGGATACTTTCTGGACAGACCTCGTACAGTACAACTTCCTAATGAACCTGTATAATAGAAAAGACAACGAGGACATCTGAAAAGCACCCAGTGAGAACTAGTTTGGCAAAATGGCTGATTTCTCACCAGAAACCGTGGGATCCAGGAGACAGTGGAGTGACACCTTTGAAGTGCTGTTACTCTAGAATTTTGTACCCAAATTATTTTTCAAGAATGACCATAAAATAAAGTCATTTTCTAAGACTACCAAAAGACTTTGGCCTACCAGAGGACTCTCAGAAGGTTACATTTATAGAATATTCTTCAAAGAGTAATTAATTATCTCATAAGAAAGTATGAGCTATAAAAAAAAAAACAGAGCAAGGAATGTATTTAAAAGTCTAAACAAACATTGATTTTTTAAAGTAATAAGAGCAATGGATAATTTCTTGAGTTAAAAATATTCAAAATTATAACTATAATCATGGGGAACTCATGTCAAGAGGTGGGGAACCCCAGAGTTAAAACATCCTAAAGTCTATATGGTTTGAGAAAAGTTGAAAAATTATTGCTGACTCTAGATTTTGTGATCTTAGCTACCCATGCATGATCTAAGCTACACATATCTAGGATAACCACTAAGTAAAACAATGTATAAAATCCAAACTAGTGAAGGGGGAAAATATACAGAAATGAATATGAATATATTAATAGATAGAGTCACTGTACATGGATTGTCAGGTTAAAGGCAAAGATAGTTAGGCTAGCTTGAAGAAAAACAATGGCAATCTATGTATAAGAGATATAACTAAATTAAACACAGAATGTTTGAAAGTAAGGGGAGCAAACAGGTAAAAAACTTAAATATTAACCAGATATTTTTTATCTTGGAGCCACAGAGTATTACTACATATTCATAAATGGTTTGTTTTACTAGGTAGATCAAATAATACCATTCTAAATAAAATAAAAATCAATAGAACTGCAAAGAATATTAACAAATCCACAATATGATGAATAAGCTTGTCATAATGGACTAACAAAAAACAGGTGAAGAATACACACCCTTCAAAGCATACGAAACATTTATAAAAATCATTCACATACTTAGCCATTGTGTGAGTCTCACAAAATTTGAACAGTTGTTTCATAAAATTATATATTCTTTTATCATTATGTAATCAGGATATTGACTGATACAAAAAAAAACCCCTAAACACCCATATACAGTTGAAAACTTTAAATCATACCACAGTCCAGAAAATACACTACAGAATTAAAAACAAAAATCCGTATGTTCCAGTAGCACTCACGTTAATTAAAATAGATACAATAATGTAGAAGAACAACGGACTCATAAAGGGAATTTGATATTTGAGTAAAAATAACTTAGATACCATGAAGAAATAGGGCAATAAGAGCACTGTGAAGAATCTTCAAAAATGATTGCCAGGGTGCAAGAGGGGGGAAGTAGTGGCTTAGTGTGGGGCTTACAAAAGAAATGTTTTTTTCTTTTACAAACATCATTTTTCTGATGATTAAAGTGACACAACCAAATATATTAGAAGGGCAAGATAATTATGAGTATATCAAAATTGAGGACCATCCATACAACCTCAAATTGCTATAAATAAGATGGCTATGTCCCAGATAATAAATTAGGAGATGTATGTGTGACAGATGTGATGGAAAGGCAGTAAGAAATTTAGACAAAGGGCATGAAAAGATTATTCACAAAGCAAGAAATAGAAATAGCTAATAAATATTTGAAAAGATGTATATCAAATGTAACCATGGGGGATAAAAAGAGAAGGAACAATGAGACACCATTATTCTTGTTGAAAAACTACATAGGGATTTAGGTGCACAGAGGTTTGTCCAGATATTTTTCCATTCTTCATATTGTCACTCAATGTAGACCATGCTGGGGGGTTGCCATGCACAAAATTTAATGACTTGTAGTAATATTTATTAATCTTGCAGTTTTTGTAAGGTTTGGTTATATTACTTTCATCTGCTGTTAACCGTTTGACAATATATTCTATACTCTTTGATCAAGTAATTCCACTTCTAGGAATTTGTCACAAGGTATAAAATTATATATATACTCGAGACTGCTCTTTGTAGCCTTGTTAATACTCATGAAAACCTGGGCAAATGTCCAGGAATACAGAGTTTTATAAAGAGAATTTGGTGTATATGCATACTTAACAGACATATATATAAAAGTTGAAAGATTATTGTAGTATAATACTAACCTTTTAAATTATATATAGATTAATACTTGTGTAGAAATACATACATGACATTTACTAAGTAGAAAAAGCAAGCTACAAGACCACTTTTGTGCAGACTGTGTACCTGTCAGATGTAAGCAGCAGCCTGTTCATAGCCACACAGATGGTGGTCAGATCCCATGGTAAGTGCGGTGCGAGGCACCTGTGCTGTAACATAAAAAGCACTGAAATGGAATTTGGGGGGGCCTGAGTTTTAGTCACTCTTTTAACAAATCTCTACAAATTAGGGCCTCCTTCTCTAAAAATGAGGGAATGGAGGTGGGCCTTGGACTTGATTAGCAATGACAAACAGACCGTCATGGTTGTCGCCACCTCCTTCTGTGTCCATGGCAGACATTGGCCATCAGTCCTAGTGCCCTTTCTCGGGACTCAGCCATGACTTAGAATTCTTCTCAACACACTGTTTCAGGCCACCATTTCTAAGTAGATTGTTCTTGACACTTGAAACTTCTTTGCCATCTTTGGATAAAATATTTTTAGAAGTCTTTTCAGCTAAAAATTTTTTGACCAAGGAATTAAGTTATTGTGGTGAGAACCAACAGGGAATATCTTTCAGAAAAAAATGTTTACTTTTCTGGTAGCCATATTTTCTACAAGCAGTAAAAAGGTGAAATAATTTTTGATAATATATTTTGTAGGGTATTTTAACATGTCATTGGTAGAAAACAATTATTAATGAGTCATGTCACATTCTTATTTCATATAAAATCTGTGAAATCCAATGTATATTTTCAGCAACCCCATTTTAGGCGATAAATTTCCAGTGGAGATACTTGATCTACATTTAAATTTACAGTTCAAAAAGTAGAGTCATACTGACATTCTTGAATTTTCTAATAATTGAATTGAATCCTCATTCTTTACATTTAATTAAAACTAAATTAAATTAAAAATTAAGGTGAAGTCCAACTAGCCACATTTCAAGTACCCACTAACCATATATGGCTGGTGGTTACCATATTGACAGCGGTACTTTTAGGGACTACAAAGAAACATATAATTTAACTTTAGCCTTCAAGTCTAGTTTCCAGTTGGGAAAGCAGGAGGTCAAAAATAAGCATATCAGGAATATAATCCAAAGCAGAATATAATTAAGTGCTAACAATTTTCTGTGGACAGATTAAGCACTAGTTGGGTAGGAAGTTCCAGAAAAACCCCAACTTGCTGCATTCTTCAGCACTTGGGAGGCTGAGGGGTGACAGCGGTGTGTTGAGTTGAGAGAATGGTGTGCCTTACTTAGAAAGTGCGTGTGTTCTCCCTGCAGGCACGGGACCCGCTGTGCTGGGGAAGTGGCGGCCGCAGCAAACAACTCTCACTGCACAGTCGGGATTGCTTTCAATGCCAAGATCGGAGGTATGGGAAACAAACTTACTTGGGTATAGAAATGAGCCAAGAGCTCCTGTGCTCACTGGCTTTCAGAACCCTTTTGGAACTAAAGTCAGGCATATGTTTGCATAATAGTGTTCAACTGTTGCCGACAGCAAAATGACCACGTTAACATGTGCTATTCAATCCAGTTAAAGACTTCAGAAGCAGTACCCCTAATGTGTTGTCCAGTATGTTAAAAAAGGTTGTCCAGCACTGAGCATGGGGTTGTTAACATCTGGACAGAACTATAAAATCAGTGCTTGAGTCAGAAAGAACTATAATATAAACACCAGGCCAGGCCATAATATCTGTGTGGAAAGAAGGATTTGAAAATATGTTAAAGAAGAATATCTTCTTTCCCTTTTCTTTAGATTTTTATAAACATTTCCTTTTAATTGCAATTAATATGGTAAATGGTAAGATCTCCGTTTGAAGTCCCATAATGTAGTCAGACTGTTATCACTGATAATTTCAGATTATATGCCCACACATGTGCTAATTCAAATATACATGAGCTCACTACAAGGACCCAACCACCACATGGAAATCCAGGCATTAATAAAAGCAAACTCTTAACTTTCCCATCTGTAGTCCCATTTTTGTTAGTATAGCCTGGTGCCACAGCCACATGTCACTGGGAAGGAAACATTGTAAGAGATGGTATAGATCCTAGTGGCTTTGAAGGTGTCCCCTGGGGGTCTCTTCAAAGGATGTCGTGAGATAAATGAAATTCCTGGAATGAGGACGACATCCTTGTTTCTGATACACTGTTTGTTTTCAAATGGTAAATAAGGTTGGATCTGAAAAATAAAATCGACTGTTCTTTTTAGGATCAATGTAGAAGTCTAGTAATGTTAAATATTTGGGGTACATTATAACGGTGCTAAGAAAAGGTTTTCAGAAACTACTTTGAATGTCAGCCATCAGTAAATTTGACCTCTTTCCTTTTTTCACCCTGAATTCTTAGTGTGTGGCAACTTGTTAAGCAGCAATTAGCTGCACTCTGAGAGCATGAGCTGTCTGTCAAGGGGAAGTTCATGGAGGGTCTAGGAAAGGAGACAAAGACTTCCCCTGAGAACCATGAGGGTGCTGGAGGCCCCTGCAGGCCCCTGCTCTTCCCAAGACACATGACTCCAATGGCTGCCCGGTCAATCCTCCTTGCTCTCCAGGGCACTCACAGTCTCTCACATACAGACACACATCCATGTCCCTGTCATTACTCTCCAGTGCTAACCCAGCTCTCACTGACCTTGAGGGAATGAAGAGATGAACTTGTGAACCTCACAGATAAGCTGCTGGCTGACCTGACTGAACAAGGACCTTAGCACAAAAATGCGTGTATGGCATGACTCATAAATGTTCCACCATCCTGAAAACAACATTCTGAATTATGTAATTAACCCCACACACCCAAGGAATGAAGGCTTGAAGTTAAATGAAGAAATAGCAACCATTTATCTTTAAACCTGAGGAAACAAAATTCTTATTTGTCAGCCTTTGACCAAAAAATTAATACTACCCTCTAGGTATGATTTTTTTCAACATTTTGTTTATATGTGTGTGGACTTCACATAAATTACATGATGTAGAAACTGAATTTAGGTATTTTGTAGGTACTTCTGCATGTTGGCATTTAGAGATATTGAGTAATCCAGTGTTATTTTCAGACCTTCCTATATTGGTAAAATAGTTTTGTTGCATGCATTTAAACAGAAAGTAAGAATATGACGATGTAGTTCATCTTTCTTTGATGAAAACCATGTGAATGAATTTTGAATATTCATGTCAAGTGAAAACCACTGGCTTCTTAGCACCCAGTACATGCAGAGCATCAGGCTGGACATTCTGTTGCCATAGAAACTGCTGACAAACTTTCTAAACGCAGTTCCCATTTCCTAACTTTGAAAGGATTGTTTATAACCTGTTCTCCTCATCACTCATTCACACACCTCTCCTTTGAAACTCCAAAAGCCTAAAGGAAAAGGCAGTCAAGATACAACAACCAAATACAATGTCTTTAGGGATGCTTTGGGAAAATTTAATAGTGACTGGGTATTTATTTCTATTATTTTTTTATAAAAACTATTAGAGGAATATAGTATCGTATCGCACATAACTTAAAATGGCTGAGCCCAATATTTATATTTTTAGATGAAAGAAATGTGGCAAAATGTTAACAGTTGTTGAGTACTGGCTAGATTAGTGTTTATTGTCATACTTCCTATTTTTCTGTGCTTGTAAGTTTTATAGTTAAAAGTTAAACACTTTTTAAAGCACAAAGAAGATATAGTTTCTTAAAGAATTTTTTTTTATTTTCTACCAGAAGTCCAACCTAATGCCATGTAGTATCTGATGCTGCCTGATTTGGGGTTTTATTACTTAATCCCCTTTTAGTGGTAGACATATAAAAACTTGAAATACTACTCGGTAACAGTGTTTTCCTAAGGAGTAAATTTGGCCTATAAAGAGAGATGTTTTTAAAATAACACACTATCTCAGTGATGGTATTTAGCTCAAGCCGAAGCTGTTCTGTTTACTTAACAGTTAGTTGTTGTGTGTCTCCAAAATAAAAGGAAAAAAGGAAAGCCTGGCATTTGACATATAATTTATTTTTTAATATCTGTGTCTGTTTTTGCAAATTAAGGTTAGTAATAAATTCCTGTGTGTCTGGTGGGAATATACTTAAATGAAGATTAATAACTGAACATTGCTAAAACCCTTTGAGAATTAGTTGATGTGTTGTATGCATAGAGAGCATTCTCCTTTATTATTTGATGTATAAATAATTTGACAAAGAAGTAATATATTAAATTCACATCAGTCTTACAGATTAGGAAATAATATTAAATATGGAGGAAATTAGACCAACCTAACTTGGCAGCTTTCCAACTTTTGTAAACATGTTAAGGTCAGAATGTTTTATACCAATTATGAACACAAGTGATCTAATGAAGAGAAATTCAGGGAAGATGGATTGCTCAAGCCGCTCTTTGTCGACTACTCAATTAAGACAGGGACAAAGAGAAGGGAGAGATTGTGGAAACCTAGGAAAAGAGAACAATGGATTAAAAAAAATATTTTTGAAGAGGTTTTGCTCTTTTACATGCACTGTATCTTCCTTTCTTCCCAAGAAAGCTCCAGGAAAGTATGAATTATCTTTTTCTGGGAAAAATATTCTCACTTAAGTGTTGATTAAAAGTTTATTTCTTTTTCCCCAAATGCTGTAGCTGCAGTTGGTCTTGGGTCGTTTGGGCGTCAAATAGCAAAGCCTCTGATCAAGCTTCTCCCCATCTGTCTTGAAGGAGTTCGAATGCTGGACGGAGACGTCACAGACATGGTGGAGGCGAAATCAGTTAGTTTCAACCCCCAGCACGTGCACATCTACAGTGCGAGCTGGGGCCCCGACGATGATGGCAAGACTGTGGACGGCCCAGCGCCACTCACCCGGCAAGCCTTTGAAAACGGCGTTAGAATGGTAGGTGTCCAGTGCACCTTGGCTCATACTGTGTCAATCAGTGGTGATTCTCACATGAAACCATCTAGGAAACTGAGGGCTCCTGTCTTCCAGCCTAGAGGAGTAGATGGAACTCAGAGGTAGAGCCAGGAGACAGGTTAATGGAAAGAGATGGGGAAGCTTTGAGATTGGATGCTTATTGGTTCTGCAAATGAGTTAAATGGTAGAGAGTTTCCCTTGATAAGAACAGAGGTATATTTGGATGCTTAGTTTTTTTCAAAGGAAATATATTCATTTATATGTTAATCATGCATTTGGAGAAATAAATTGTCAGGACTGTGAGATTCAGAAAAAGTGGAGCTATGGAAACTCCCCAGTTACTGTGAATAGACCATTCCACAGTGCCCATGGGGACATCTCTCTTTTGTTGTCCCTTCCCTAGTTCCACCTCTGTCCCAGGACAATAAGATTTCTGTGCTGGCCCCCCAGTTCCCTCACCAGGCAGCTCGACCCTGGAGGTCACTTGATTTCCCTGACTTCATTAAGAAATTCATGACTACTCCCCCCGAAAAAGTGGAGGACATAATCTAATGTAAAAAAAAAACCAAAAACATCTATTTCAAGTTACAGATGTTAAAACAACCTGCTTTCTTTTGGTTTAGTGAAAAATGATGACGCAGCATGCTTGTACCCTTGCAAGGAGGAGAGCTCTACCAGAAGCACCTCCTTTCTCCTTACTCATGAACGGAACTCTGGGGGACCTAAAGCATCCATTTAAATCACGATCTGGGCCCAATCTCCTTTCCCTTCATCATCTCTTTATACTTTTGTATAATGTAGGCAGTGTTCTTACTATCCATCAGCACACACTGCTTTCCCTGTGCATCCCTGCCCCACTCCCATGTCCTACTATACAGCCAAATCCTGTTTTACCATCCAGTCTTAGCTAAAGTGTCGCCTCTTCTCAGAAGCCTTCTCACTGCCCAAATTAGGATTCGGTGTAAGCAATCCCTACTCTCTACCTGCCCATGTTTTATATTCCTACTGTCATTACATATTGTTTTTACCATATTGTGCTTTATATCAGAATCAGTTATACATGCATCTCCCTCACTAAATTGTAAGTTCCTAGAGAGCAGAGTTTGTGCTCTACCCTCCTTTATGGGCTTTGCAAAACACATAATGTGCATTGAATTTCAGTGACTACTCAGTAAATTGCTTGTTGAATTTAATTTAATTGACCACAAATTGTGCTAACCATAGGGTTGTTATATATTCAGCCCAAATTTTGGCATGGAATGCATGCAGTTGATAAATGGAATGTTGCAGCTACAACGCAGATAGTAATGATATACCTTTGTGAGGGTGGTGTTAGGGTTTTAATCAGCAGACTGAACTAAGTTGTCTCCTGGTTACTCTGGAATGGACTGGAGGGAAAAGCTTATGTACTTGTTATTAATGTACTTCTTAACTAAGAGATAGTTTGGATTTGGGGAAGACATACTTTCTAGCTCTGACAATTTTCAGCTACATTAGAGACCTTTTGAGCAATAGAATAATGTTTTAAATCATTGCCTAGTATTTTCCTTTCAAGGTATCTGAACACCAAATGAATGCACTCCAAGTAATCTGGTGATTTCATTACCAAAGCTCTGCACTGCAGGTTACTATTCTCCCTCTTTATGCCATCAGTAGAATGGTCATTCAAGCTAAATAAATCAAGCTGAGTTTATATTTGATTTTCAAATTGTATGTGTATGGCCCTTGATATAATAAAGAGCAATCTGGAATTTCTCATGAATAATATATACTTATATTACTAATGCACATAATCTCATGAATGTACATCTAGAGAGAAAATGCCCATATTCAATGGCTACCATTGAAACAGTTGATATGGGCCAATGATTTTTAAATTTTTTCTAGCTAAGGAATCTTTCATTCAACGGAAATCTTAACGGGAAGTTCAATGTGTAAAACACATAAAAACATGGTACTTTGGTTGAAGGAAAAAAGGGTTAAGATTAGAAACAAGATCATCTGAGAAAGCTACTCAAAGTTATATAGAAAGATTATATTTAGGAATAACGAATTTTGAGAAAATTTACTGCAAACTCACTATTTTTAATTTTTTTTATTGATTTTAGAGTGGTAGGGAGGGAGAAAAAGAGAGACAAACATCAATTTGTTGTTCCACTTATTTATGCATTCATTGGTTGTTTCTTGTATGTTCCCCAACTAGGGATCAAACCCACAATGTTGGCATATCAGGACAATGCTCCAACCAACTGTGCTACCTGGCCAGTGCCCAAACTCAGGATTAATTATGAAAACAACGCATGCTTATTATAATCAATCATATTCTAAAGATGAACTTAAAAATAGATTACCCATCCAACTAGATAACCAGTGTTAAGGGTTGGGACTACATCTTTCCACAGTCCTGGCCTATTCATATTCCAAATGGGGATCTTTTGCCACTGTACATTGCTGTTTCCACCTAACAGTGAATCATGGGCAGTCCTTTCAGGACAATTCATAAGGTTGTAACTCATTTCTTTTCATGTTTTAACATTTTCAGAGTATGGAAATCCCATAATTCATTCAACATTCCACTGAGAATCTTTCAAGGTTTTAATCTGGGGGGAGAAAAGGAGTTTTAGTTTTAGAACAAACCACCTACTTTTAGAGTTAAGCTAGTAAAGAACACCAACAAAAATTCTTAAAGACAAATTGTTCTCTGGCTCCTAGCATTTCACATCCAACTGTGGAAGAGCAGTAGTGACCATTTAAATATGATAAGGTCGACAGGATAGGGTTTTTACATGTTTAGTACATGTAGGCTTCACTCAGACTTAAGCTCGGGTTGACTCCACCATCTTTTATTTACTGCTCTCTGATCTGATATCGATCAGATTACCTCTCTGCTTCCACTTCCTCTGCCTATGTTCTAGGGCAATAATAATACTTACAGGGATACTGTGAGTGTTAAATGAAATGATCATGCACAACACCTGGAACATAAGAGGTGCTCAAGAAATCACTTTTATTTATAAATAATTTTTCCACCGTAGAAAAGATCGTGCTCTTCCAAAAAACTACATTTCTCATCAGTCCCCCATTCTTTACTTCCTACCATTTCTACACTGTAGACTTCTAGAATATTCCATTGAGTTGCTTGTAGTGGTAAATTAAAAATAATATGGTAGAAGTCTGCATAAACTTCCTGAGTTCTGTGATATCATTTACTTTTTTCTCCCTATATCTATACTTGCCTTCAATTTCACTTGTCCTTAAAAACGTATCTGCAGTTTCATTGAGATAACTTATTGATATACAAATTCATTTCAGTTATCCATGTTTGTAGTCTTCAATTTTACTTATATTTCCCAAGGGATATTTCTCTAAATATCTATAAATATGTAATTTAGTATTTTTAAAGCTGTAAAAGAGTCTTTTCCGGGAAAAAGAAACCTTTTATTCCTCTGTTACAAGGCAGTGTGTTTTTTGAAATTATTCAAATTTGTGTTCTTTATATAATATGCATTGTCAAATGTATAAAAAATAATTGGATAAATAGTTTATACAAAGTTAGATTATAGGGTGCAATAGAGAAATAAATTATTTATTGGTTGAGTGATGTAAGTAATGAAGGAATAAATGACTAATAAAATAATTCTTTTAGGTAGCTGGGGTACATCTATGTGACGGTTCAAAGTTGCTCTGTGCTCTTGGGGTTTTAACAACATCATCTGCAAAAATATAACAATTGGAATTTATTTTTTAATTAAATTTATTGAACTCCCACATTCTATACTCTATAGGTAGAAGATTAAGGAAGGCATCTAAGTTTTATGTGCAATACATAGAAGTCCCAATATTCCAGCAACATGAGAGAAAACAGAGAAATAAGGCTACTTGAGTGTTATAAAAGAAATAAAACCAATGACTCAGAGAGGACAGAATGGCTTTGGTTAGGAGGGTGGAGGGTCTCCTTTGAGGAGGTGATACGTGAATGGAGACATCAATGATAAGAGGCCAATCATGGGAAGAAATGTGGAAGGAATGTCCTGTGCAGAAGGAACGGCAAAAGCAAAGCACCATGAGTGGAGCATGGTGTGGGTGAACTCACAGGACAGAATGCTAATTTGGGCTTTGGGGGCAACATGGACAGAGAACAGGTGGTAGGAGATGGGTTGGAAAAAAAGGAAGCGGCCAGCTCAGGAGGGCTTGTTAAACCATGTAGGGTGTTTGCATTTTATTCTGTTACAGAAAACCACTGGAGGTTTTTAGCACAATTGTTGCCTGATGGGATATACTCAATTTTAAAAGAGCACTGCTGTGTAGAGAATGCAGTGCATGTGGGTGAGGGATGAGGAGGCAAGAGTGGGAGGTTGAAATGGTCCAGCAAAGAGTTGATAATGAGTTGACCAGGGTGGCAGCAATATCAAGACAACTAGAGAGATGGGTGGCAAGAGAGAGAAGCTAAGTATCGAGAGATTTTCACAAGGGAAATAAATAAATTTTGCTCAGGGAGTCCAAGTATTGATTGCATCCATTCTTTCTGCTTGCTAATCAAAAAACGTAGCAAATACTGGATTTCAAAATGCTTTCTATTTGTTTACTATAAGATAAGCATTTGGCTCAGTAGAATGTAACACTGTTTTCAAAGACTTTAACAAAATCAGAATTGATTCAATTTATAGCCACTTTAGAATTAATGTACCAAAATTTCGTAAAAGAAACGACATCAAACAAACCATGTCACAATTGACAACTTGTTCTTTCTTTCCAAAGGCTGCATTTCATGTGATACTGAGGAGCTATAAAATTACTTGCAAGAATTAGAGGGATATAGTTTGAGCTGCATACACTAAATAATGATTATGATGAAAATACAACAACCACATTTGACATTTACCAGTCTGTTATACTGTAGTGATTCTGTGAATCCCTAAAATAGTTAACTTTTAATCTTCATAATGATCTCATAAAATAGATACTGTTCTCCCGAATTTTAC